GTGTGTGTGTGTGTGTGTGTGTGTGTGTGTGTGTGTGTGTGTGTGTGCATACTTAGCTGTTTATACTTTGTATCCCCTAGGTAGAATGTAAGCTTCCAGCACCGATAGCATAATGCAGTGGGTATAGTAGGAGCTTAATAAAAATGCTTGCTGAATTATTGGTGTGTACATTCCTTCCACTAATGAATATTGCAACTCATTTCTCACTTAAAATATGATCTTTGAGAGCTGCTATGGCTTAAAAGTTCCTCACTTTGGGGGGGTAACCTGAGCGTGAACCACTCCAGTTTAGCCAATTTAGACTTTGGACAGTAGATATGCAGTTTGTAATTGAACTAACTAGAGTGTGTGTGTGTGTGTGTGTGTGTGTGTGCATGTGTGTGTGTGTACATTACTTTATAGGCCCAAAGCTCACTCAGAAATTCTGGATATAGCTCAAATCACAGGTCAGTCAGTCAGTCAGTCAATCAGTCAAAAAATACTTACTAGGTGCCTACTTTGTGCCAGGTAGTATACTAAGTGATGGGGATACAAAAAACCCTAAAAAACAAACAAACAAATAAAAACAAAAGATAGTTCCTGCCCTCAAAAAACAATCTAATGGAATCATTAGAATAACCCATTCAAAGCTGAAAGGGAACTGGGAAATGTCAAAATCTTTTGATTTTATAAATAAAAAAAAACAGGCCCAGAGACAGTAATAATTTGTTCATGGTCATGCAAACAACAGTAGCAAACCTAGGATTCAAATCTAGGTCCTCTGATTCTAAATCCGTGGCTCTTTTCAGTACTGCATGCTGCTTCCAAGACTTGATTTTCTTTTCTCTAAAATGGGAATAGTAAGACTCCAAAGATGAAACTCTGTAGATTAAATTGCTGATTATTGCACAATGTATGAAAAACCAAAGGGGCTAAGTGCTATCCCAAACAACTCACTCATGTGAATCTACCCCTCTGCTGGTGGCTCACTACACCACAGGTAATTGACTTATTTATTTTTCTTTTCTATTTTTCAGTTAGCCAAGGTTTTTTAAATCTTCAAGCTAAACAGAAATATTGCTTGACACCAGAATGCATTGAAGTTGGTAAGTAACAATTTCCCATCCTGTACTGAGTTGTAATTCTGGTACCTTGAGGAAAGGAATAGAAAACAGGCGACATTTTTAGACTTCTGCTTGTTGGAGGTTTACCTTGTGGTAAATGCAGTTTTGATTAAATGTTAAGTTTGGCCAAAAATAAACCCTGTATGCGGAATCCTGGACAGGAGGTTTCTGGTTTTCTTGTTTCTTTCCCAGGGAATAGCTGCATTATATTCTGAGCATCTCTGTAAAAAATTATGATGGAAACCAAAAGGCTGAACAGCCTCTTTTCAAACAAGTCTTGAGGCAAAACTCACACTGGACACAGTTTCATCTCACCCTGACAAACACTTTCAAAATTGCTCTATAGATAGAGACTACCAGACCTTATACTATTTTTGAGCAGAAATTCACTTTATTTTTTTCTTAAGCAATAGGTTCTGTTGGAAGTCAAAAGACCTTTTCTTTTCTTTTTTTTTTTTTGAGATTTGGTTATAGCCTACCAGGGAGGGACGTTTTATATAATGCTACTAAGATGCTGACTTATAATTTCCTTGGATCTCACCTGTATTCCTCCAGATGAAATGTACTTCTTTGACTGAGATTAATCAGGTCACATGTGAGTGGGTATCCCACAGAGAATATTTACAATGTAAAGTTCTTCCTCCCCCCTTACCTTTTCTTTTTTTCCATGTCTCCTTTCCTTCCTTCCCTTTCTCCCTCCTTCTCTCCCTCTTTCCTTCCTTCTTTTTTTCCTTCCTTCCTCTTTCCCTTCCTACCTCAAACATTTGCATGTTATATATAAACCAAATATTTTCAATGTACTAAGCTTGGTGCTAATGTATGTACATAGATAACTAAGATACAATCCTTGTCCTCCAGAATCTTATAATCCAATAAGGGATCTATGATAAATATAATACAAATATTAATACAATAATAAACATAATACAAATTATAAGTGCATAAGATTAGTACAATATACTATGAGATCACATGAGGTGAGGTTAGGAAAGGCTTCGTAGTGGCAGATGAGCTAGGCCTAGGAGAATGGAATAAGATTTTAAGATGTAGAGGTGGTAAAAAGGGAATATTAGGGAAAAATATAGGCAATAGTATATCAAAACCATGGAGATGAAGAGTCTTGAATGCGAGGCCAAACTTCTACATCTCTACCCACCTGATTGATTTTCCTTTAACTCAGGGTTAGAGCCTAGCTATTTGGGACCTTTTGCTCAACCCTTCAGGTGGTACTTTAGGTGGGTAACACCAAGGGCATGTGTTAGTTGATTTCAATATTTCTCAGAGTAGACATCACAAACCTGGGTGGGATTAAGACCCATCCTGTGGACAGTTCTCCCTCACTAGTCTTTCTAGTGTTCTCTTGACCCCAGCTCATTCTTGACTGAGTTGGCAGGGCAGCTAGGTGGCGCCATAATGAACAGAGTGCCTGGCCTGAAGTCAGGAAGACTCATCTCCTGAGTTCAAATCCAGCCCCAGACACTTACTGTGTGACCCTGGGAAAGTCACTTAACCCTTTTGCCTCATTTTCCTCATCTGTAAAATGAGTTGGAAAAAGAAATGACAAACCACTCTAGTATCTTTGCCAAGAAAATCCCAAATAGGGTCATAAAGAGTCAGATTTGACTGAAAAACTGCTGAACAACAAAAATTCTTGATTGGTGTGGGACTCTTTCTGACATAGGCCTTAGTTTTGGTTCTGTGTTTCTCTCATTACTGAGCATTTCAGAAATAAATCAGGTTAGGCCTTCCCAACTTTGTTGGAATGCCCACACAAGTTTATATCCCATTCATGGATGTTTGAGACTCAAATAAGATAATAGGTATAAAGCATTTTGCAAACCTTAAAATGTTCTATAAATGCCAGTTACATAATAATAGTAAAAATAATAATAATGATAGTATTATTAACCTACAGTCACTAGGCCTCTGGTCTGGTGATGACTTCATTCCCTGAGCCTCCTACCGCACGCCTGCTGAGCTCAAGCAGTATTTGCAGAGCAATTCAAAGGTTTGCTGGTAAACGTTTAAGGTAGGGAGCATGTACACATGCTTTTAAATTTAATCTGCATTATTAATATTTTAAGTCTAGATAATGAACAAAACCATAGTGCAACCCTTGATTTGTAGCAATTACTGATTTCTGATTTAAATGCTTACACTGCTAATTTAGCAATGGGCTTTGAACACATCCTAAGGAGCCCCTGTCCCCATCTTTGTTCCCAGAATAATTTGTGTCCCCAGGCCTTGCCCTGTTTTTATCCAGAAGGATGTCCATGCCCACTTATTGTAGATTTTCTTTTAGAAATGTGTAGTTGGGTATGGTAGCCCACTTGAGAAAAAAGCTTAGCCAGTGACTTACTCTGTTTATATTGTTTACCACATTGACAAAGGAGTGTGAAAGAGAGAGCATAGAAAAATTTGGAGAGGTTGAAGAATTCACTAAAATTTTTAAATTCATAAATTTTTTTTTTGGTTGGACAATGGGAGTTAAGTGACTTGCCCAGGGTCACATAGCTAGTAAGTGTTATTTGTCTGGGGTCGGATTTGAACTCAGGTCTTCCTGATTCCAGGGCCGGTACTCTATCTACTGTGCCACCTCGCTGGTCCCATAAATTCATAAATTTTTATAAAGTCTTTTCATACCATGGGCCACTTTATTTTGTTTAAACTTTGCCCATCCCTTGTTTATAAACTGTAATAATGTTGGAGTCTCCTTTCCAGAAGGACACTTGATAATAAGGCCACCTGCCATGTAGTAAGTTTTTTCCCTCTTTCTTGCAGTTCTGTTTTTAATTTTCACTTAAGGGAATGACTTAGGAATGTTAAAAATAAAATGGAAATATTGCTATTTCTATAGGAAAAGCACATCAAGATAAATTCCACTATTATGTAATTTGAAACCCAGAATCCCCAGTGGCCCTGGGAACACCTGTTTAGTGTACATCATCAGAAGAGCTTTGGCCAACTAGAGAGCTTATGCAAGAAATAGTGGTTAAGGTTTTATGTCTGTATTCAGGGCTTAGGAATAGGGTACTGAGAAAGGGTTTGGGGAAAGATATAGCACTTTATAATACAATGTAATATATTAACATCACATTATTATTGTTGTTACTTAATTCATAAAATGCTTTCGTCACAATAGTCCTGTAAGGTGAATTATTAAGAACATCCATGGATATGTTATTTCATTGATGTGTTTTTTTTCAGTGATGCACAACATAATTAATTTGTGACTGTTCATGTTATGCAACTCTTATTCATGTCCTCCCATGACTCCTCCATAGCAAGTCTTGCCATTTTGTAGCTATCAATGGAGCATGTGGAATATTAATTGATTATCCCTTATTCTTTCTTTGTGGATAGACCATCTCTTTTCTCAAACATATAATTCTGTTATGATGTCATTTGTGCTGCTTTTCATGAACAATTTCTCATTGGTGATGTGTGGCAGTTTTCAGAAGTCCACTATGCACCTCTCCATTGTTCTTAGGGTGATACTTGACTTTAATTTTTTTGAATTTCCATGACTCACAACCATACATCATCACTAGAAGAATATTATTGTTTAAAAAAATAGCTGTTGTCTTAGGGAAAATCTTGGTGTCATTAAAAGTGCCATGCAATTTCCTAAAGGCCATCTTGTTAATTCTCTTCAATTCTATCCCAGATCATTGCTCATTTGCAGGCTCTGTCTAAGAGATGTATACAGATGAACCAGCTCTATGAGTTATCTAATATTATAGTTTGAGCAATGAATATTCTTTAGTTCACTTGGTTTTTCTCAATAAATATAGATAGGTCAAACTCTTTGGAGTGATTATGGATCCCATTTAGAAAACTGTAATGTTCTGAGGCTTGACATTTTTAGTACAATGTCACTCACAAACAGGAGCATCATTTGAACTCTGAGCAAAATGTCCTCTGTAACATTGCTTAAATACCTGATTCATGCTTCAGGTGGTTGGCTAATCAAAGTCTGAAAGTGGCATCCTTTATAAGATGCAATTGGAAAAATCAAAGTCTGAAAAAGGCTGTTCTTATATTTCAACATTTCTGTTAGCTGACCTTTTCATCCTGGAAGATCTATCTGTCCTTTACATCCTATAATTTCAATTAGTAGATAGGGGGACAGAACTCATTTGGTCAAGGGCCCCCTAACCATCTCCCTCACCCCGTTATAGTAGCATACAGTAGATTGAATTGAAAAATTCTTATCAAGTTCTTCAAAGAAATTTATCTGCTTGCTTTATCTATGACAAATATTGGTGCATAAGCTACAATTATTTTCATAATGATCTTTTTGCAAATGCTTATTACAAATACTGCAATATAAAAGGACAAAGTGTTCAGCACAAATGTAAGCTAAAACCAACTCCTGGGGCTTCCAGATTCACCATCTGCCTTATAAGCCAACCTTCCATTTGGAAGCATTTTTTATCTCTGGTTTCATTCATAGTGAAAATATCAAGGTTTATTGATTCATTTATTGCAGCAGTATGTCCACCTGTTGGTCATTGGACAAGGATCTCATTTGGAATATTAATAGCTAATTTAGTGGTCAATCAATCAACCAATCTACAAGCAGTTATTAGGCAATTACTATGTGCCATGAACTGTGCTAAGTGTTGGGATACAGAGAAAAAGGAAAAAATAGTCTCAGCCTTCAAGGAGTTTATATTCTAATGAGGAAAGGCACACATACATAAATAAGTGTACACAAAATACATAAGGAGTAGATGGAAGGTGATGATAGAGGCAGCTAGGTGGTTCAGTGGTCAGGCTGCTGGGCCTGGAATCGGGAAGACCTAAGTTCAAACCCAGTCTCAGACACTTCCTAGTTGTATGACCTTAGGCAGGTGACTTAATAAATGTCTGCTTCAGTTTCCTCAACTGTAAAATGTAGGTAATAATAGCGTTGTTATGAGGATCAAATGGTATGAAATTTGTAAAGTGCTTATCATAGTTCCTGGCACATAGTGAGT